GGTTAAGTGAACCCCTCAGGTTACTCGTAAAAATCACAGACTTTCAAAATGTTTAGTAATCTTACATGTTACCAAGTTCACTGACAACGAATTCTTAAAACCAAGAGTAAAGTGATTGTAAACAAACATACAGTAGTAAAGAACAGCAAATACTAGTAGGTTATTTGTATGGGGCATTATGTCAATGTAGAATTTAGCGAAGAAAAAAGTTGTTATTTCTTTGTATGAACATGTACAGTATTATGCCTGAATTGGGGGACTGTTTAGATTGACTGCGTTTTGCAGGTACTCCAAGGCAGAGAATGTTGTTATAGGGAGATTTCACCTCACAGAAATAATGAAACTTAAAAAACAAAATGTAGGAAGTGTGGGAGAAAAAAATTGGTACGTTTCTGTTTCTATTTAGTTCAGGTGAGATCTTTTAGAGCTTTTCAGAACTAATTAGGGAAATTTATACTAATTGATGATTTCTCAATTATAAAAAAAAATGAATAAAAAATATGCATTATTTTTTCAGTGGATTGAAATATTAACAAGAGATCTGTATTATCATTTGTATTATCAATGTAAGTGGTGAAATATACATGATGGCAGCAGTGTCCTTTGTTACTTTCCTCTCGTTTTTTCTTTCTCTTCATGTAAATGTTGAATTCTAGTATCAAGTGGCCAGGAATGGCATCTGAGTAGTATAGGATAGAGTGTTGATATTTGACACTACACAGACTGTTTTGGCATCAGAGAAATAAATAGGAGACACCTAACAGATGTCTTGACCTTCAGTTCATACTTGGCTATTACAAATTGCAATATCTGTTCTCTATAGTTGCTTTTTCTTTTATCTTTCATGGAAGATGAGTTCAATTTGCAAGCAGGGGTAAATAAATGAAGCCACCAAGCTAAACCAAGTGTTCAACTATGAGCTCTTAATATTCTGCTGCACAAATTACCATGAATAGTCCTTGTAAAAACAACGACCCCCTCAGAGAAAACTAGTGTTCATTTCCTAAGACTTGATTTAAATGAAATGGGGCATACTCTCTGGCTCCAGTGCAGTCTTTTAAATTTTAGTCAGACTAGTATTTCTGTCAGTCATGTTTTTTTTGTTCTTTGTTTTTTAATGTGTGTAGTAGACTCAGTGTTCGTCCCAATATTGATTGATGCCCATCATTTTAATTAAAGTGTATCTTATATATTTCAAGGAGAGAAAAGAACAATAGCAATAGCCAGTAAAAACAAATGAGAGAAAAGGGAGTGGAAACATAATTAATGTAACACCTGAGGTGTCCATTTCACCCTAATTCTGGCGCACAATACAATACTAAAAGTATCAAACGAGTTTACTTTCAGTCTCGATGTTAATCAAACTTAAAGTCGATGTCCTTCGAGAAATGAAAGCAATAAGGTTGGTTGTGATCAGCACACTCAAACACACCTGTAGGGTGTTTATTGTAGTACTCAAGTAAAACACGGCTAATTTCTGTAGAATTCCTTGACTTTCACAATGCTTTGCGTTAATGTACATGTGTGATATTTGGAGGTTTGTTCTCAATGAACGCGCAAAGCAAGTGGTAAGTGGTAACTCCACATCAAGTAGCAAAGACCTCGAATAGCATTGTTATTGACATTGTGCGTTAACTTCAAGAGGACATAGTCTTTCTCGACTCAGTGAGAAAAAATTTCAACTATTTTTTTCATGACAAAATGCATTTTCTTTTTGGATGCAGTATTATTTTTAAGTACCCTAGCACACCATACACATCCGGTCAGCAAATTTGTTATTTTGTTTTGCTAAACATTCCCTTGCTTTGAGGCAAACAAAAGTTGAAAGACTTGCCGGCAAACTTTTTTCTGTTTTCCAATTAACTTTTTAGTCTTAATTCAGTAAGGGATTTTATTTGAAGACAAAAGCTAAGTTGTTTATAGTTTCTTTCCAGCTGAATTAATTAAAACAGCCATTAACAGTAACTTGTTAATTGCTTTCCCAATCCAAACTAATTATGCAAATTAGCGGTGACCAAAATGCTAAATGATTTGCATCACAACAAATGCCATGTTGTAAAAATCATGTTCTTATTTCATTTTAAAATTCACTGAAGCCATTCTGATTTGTTATTATATTCATTCAGCTTGTTGATTGACAGAATATATTAGAAGATTGGCATTGGCTTTAAATATTATTATCATTATTTCAGTTTCCAAGGGTAACAGCTGTGGTCATGTACACCCAAAATTTAAAACGGCTTTTTACAAACACTTTTCCCATTCCTGACATGAATGAACAAATAACAAAAAAAAGACTTTAAGTTTTAATATTTGCTTTTCATAATCAATTTCATGTGTACTGAAAAACAAAAAATATTGAAAATGAACAAAACATGGTTGCCATTAATTAAAAATATAATTTCAAATTTATATTAACTTAGGTTAATGCAACTAAATCAGCAACCAACAACGTCGCTGTGTCCAACAAAATCCTGTGAACCACAAAATTGTGTTATAATAATGTACAACAATTGAGTGAGTTTTTTGGCAAAGGCCAATTTCAAGTCAAGATACGTTTGTCTTGGCATCCCCTACTGATAATTGGATGCCAAGTCTATTATGCACGCACAAAGAATCGACTGATTGACACCACTTTAAGCCTACTTTTGTCTTGTTTTCTTTTCATTCTGACATTCTCTTCACACAAAATAAAATGTTTTTATCCTCTTTTTATTTTGTACCATTGTTGAGCAAAACAAGAAAAAGTACAGGAATAGTCATCCACGGTGAAAGAGAATTCTTGCTTTATTAAAACTAAACCCACAACAGTATTTGGATAACTTCCTCATACATGTGTGAACAACAGGGTTTCAACCATGCAATCAACAACAGTCCAGCTCTATTAGCCCAGATACCTTTCATGAACACCCCCACCCCCTTCCCCAAACACACACGGATTTTCACATGGGCGCCTGCAACCATGAAGCCATTTAGTTGCTCTGTCCACTAACAAAAAAAACTAAGCGATGATCAAACCCAGTAAATTTGTAACGAGATAGTATGCAAGTCAACAATAGACAAAAAGCACTTAGCTTAAAAACCTCACTTCTTTAGCAGTAAGAAATTTGGTAGCCTGACTAGCAAATTGTTCAAATAGTGAAAGCTAAAAAGAAATTCAAGCCTTTGTTTTGAAATGCAAGTGGGTTAAACAGTTCTGTTTACTGCTAAGAAACACGCTCTCATACATCCAGGACAAATTTAACTCCTTACGAAACAAGAAACACATCTTGTAAAAAAAAAAAAAAAAAAAAAAAAACGCTGCCGGGAAATAACTAAGAGCATCTCCTAAGGAATCATTTTCCATAGTGATGTGTTTGCAAAACATACCCCAGTAGCTAGTCGCTATATGTGCACCCTAAGCAACACGTAAGTTGACTTCAGTTGGCATCAACAATACAAATGTTTCTTGCGTTCACGCTGCTTGCCTCTGTGACAAGTTTCAGCCATGGTAGAGGCAGCCATGCCGAATGGGGAACTGAACCTCGAACTGACAAGCCAACATGCAACAGGGAATGAAGGGAAAGAGGACAGGCCTCTGCGATGTTGTTCTGCATGGTTGACAATGAACAATATGAGGAGAATTTCAATCTCTCACATGGAGTGTAGTTGCAATGACATTACGGCACTGGTTCTTTACTCCAATTAATATTGCAATTGTAGGAGGCAAACAATAACAAATCTGAAGGAGACTTTTTAAAGTTTAAATTAGAATACCCCGCAACAGTCAAGTACATAAGGTTGATGCAGCCAACAAAAAATACCAAAATTATATCATTATATGATTGTTGAATAATGAATCATGGTCAAAGATAAGTTTATATAATTTTACTATCGTTTAATAATCACTACGTGCCAAAACCATGGACCGACAACGATGCCAATGTTGAATATTTATGGCCAATGTGTGAATGCCTCTGAGGAAGAGGTGTACCCAAACTCCAAAACAGGTGGTCCAGACAGACAGCTAGAACTGTATTGTAATTTTCTACACGACTACGTGCAAAACCACGAACAGTTTTCTGAACTAGGTCGGGAGAAGAAAGTGTCAGCTAACATTTAAAAAGACAAGGCGCCATTTTGGTAGCAGTGACGTATGGTATATAACCACAACATAATAAAACACCTATAAAGCCATTCCACAGTGAGGTGAATGATATCATTCAAAAAAAATGTAATCACTAACTACATGTAACATATGATCTAGTAATGTTGATATTATTAGTTCTATTTTCAAAACACACACACATGTACAATGTACTTTGCCCCTATATTGTTTGATACCTTACTCGGCTATAAGACATTACAGGATTTTAATTATCGCATTTCAGGTATTTAGTGTTTTTTAAAAACCTGATCACAGACAAATGTTACATTAAAATACGCAACTTGATTTAGTTGACTGATTTCCAAACCTGGAATCAAACTCAATGAAAAGGGTTGTGCCACATGTACAAATAATTGACCAAATTTATATGGTTTAAAAGTCTATATTTGACCTGGAGTAGAGTCCATGTTTGTTTGTTGGTATTTTATATTGGGGTTCCTGTCTATGAGTGAACTTTACTCAGGTGTGTTATGTACAATCAATGGCGACGACATACCGAAGTTAACTGTGTGAAAGCTTAGAACACAAAGACAATTGACTGAACAAATAGTGTTGTGTTAATTTCATCAGTTACTTGTCATGATTACATGACATGATTAAATTCATATAAAATTATTAAAACAAGTGTTTCTTAAAATCTAGAAATTTGCACATTTGAAAACAGATAAATTTATCAATTTTCTACTACTTTTTGGCAAGAAATTTATAAATTTGTCAATTTCATAAGCTAATGCACATACATGTAATTAGCATGGTGCAAAAAAAGAAACACTTGTTTAAATGACATCTGTTCTGGAGACCAATTTTTTACAACATAATAAGTTATTTCAAATCCAAGAAAATAATGTCTTACCTGGGTGCTTCTTGTCTGCGGTGTGGAAGCAGTCATATCCACTGCGTAGGCAACTATATTATATAAAGTATTCCCAGCCTCACGGTCAAGTTCATTGCCAACTGTAATTTCTCCGGTTTGTTTATCAACCACAAAGTCTCGTCCGCTACGTTTATTTCCTGACATAATAGATGTGATGTAATACTCAATATCTGCATTGTGATTGGTCGGATAGCTCGCCGTAATCCTAATCATACTGGTTCCAATAGGTGAATTTTCATATACATTAGCGGTATACAAGCTTTTTGTGAAAATAGCTCCCGAGTTAGCAATACTAGTGATGATGACGTTTAACAAGAAAGAACTAGATTTCCTGTCACTACCATGGTCTGTAGCAATAACTGTCAGCGGGTACACCAGTCTGGAAGAGAGCAAGTATCCGGATAATGTCAGTTTCCCAGTAGTTTCATGAATAGAAAATGGATTGTTCACACTTTCTGACAGGGAATATGAAACTTCCCCATTGGAACCAGCATCTGGATCCACAGCTGTTACCGTGGTAACATCAGCTCCAGTTAAGGTGGATTCCATTATAGTTGCAGCATTTTGAGATACAAACACTGGTGCATTATCGTTGATATCTAGCACCATAATTGTCACTCGCTTAGTAGCAGATTTCCGATTAGATACTGGTATGGCTTGATCCTTTGCCATGACAACAATTTCAAACATTCCGTTGGGCAGATCTTCGCGGTCAATCTCAGCGGAAGTAGAAATCATGCCACTGATTGGATGAATGGAGAAGTGCTCTCCAGGAGGTTCTTGGGTAGTGATGGAATAGACAATGTCGCCGTTGATGTCAGAATCTGGGTCTGTCGCAGTGACAGCAATTAGATCTGTACCAATCTCAACACCTTCAGTGACTTGATGTATAATAGAACTGATTGTGAAAACAGGCGCGTTATCATTTGTATCGCGAATATGAATTTCAAATTTAATCGTGTCTGTGAGCGGTGATCTGCCATTATCACGGGCAGTGATGCTGAGTTCGTAATAGTTTCGCGTTTCGTAATCCAGTGGTTTGGCCAAATATAAATATCCAGAGTCTTGATCAATACGGAATGTCTCGTACGTATTTCCGCCAGTTATGATGTAATTAATCAATGCATTTTGATCGATATCTTGATCAGAAGCACTAACAATGGTGATAAGTTCACCGACTTCAAGGGTTTCGGCCACATCAACTGATCTCGCGGACTGTGCAAATACGGGTGCATTGTCATTTTCGTCTAGTACGGTAATAACAACTTGCGTGGTTGTACTCAGTAGCTGCGGTGTACCATGATCCACTGCAGAGACAGTCAAAATATATTGGGGTACGGCCTCTCGATCCAAGACACCGATTAAAGTTATCTGACCAGTTGATGGGTTGATGTGAAATTGATTACCTTCATTACCGTCCGTTATGTAATAAGTTATTCTCGCATTTTCTCCAGCGTCAGGATCGGTAGCAGCAGCATGTACAACTGGTGTGTTATTCATTGCTGTTTCAGAGATAGACGCTGAATAGTACGACAAATGAAACTGCGGGGCGTTATCATTTACATCAGAAATGTAAACCATAATATGGGCATGGTCTTCTAGCGGTGACACGCCTCCATCCACAACAGTTACATCAAATTCAAACAATGTGTCTAGTGAGTCTCGAATTAGCTGTTCGCGATCAAAAGTTTTAGCGCTTCTGATTTCTCCATTCTGCGGGTTAATAACAAAATCAGTCTGTGTTTCAGTGAAGCGATATGACAATTCTGCGTTTCTTCCAATATCCGCGTCAGTAGCCGTTACTTTACCAACATACACATTTGGCGACAGCTCCTCCAATAAAAAGAAACTATAATCTTGAAGGTTAAATAAAGGTCGGTTATCGTTAGCATCTAAAACATGTATAGTAACAACGGCTGAAGAACTTCGCTGTGGGACGCCATTATCACTGGCAACTACTGTAATAGTGTAAATATCAGTGTTTTCTCGGTCAAGAGCATTTTTTACATACAAATTGCCATCTGGGAAAATGCCAAATTTATTTTCTGTGTTTCCTTGAGTTACACTATAGGTAACAAGTCCATTTTGCCCTAGATCTTGGTCCGTGGCTGAAACTTGAAAAAATTGGGTGTTCCGCGAAATAGACTCAATAATGTCAGTTTGATAGCGAGTCTGTACAAACACTGGCGAATGGTCATTGATATCACGAACTTCAACAGTGACGTTGAGGATGGATGAAAGTTGTGGTACTCCAAAATCCGTCACCAGTACCTGTAAATAATATGTTCTCACTGAGCTGTCAACTGGTAAATTTAGATAAATCCATCCTGTAGTTTCATCAATACGAAATTTCTGATCAGGATTTCGGAGAAGTTCATATACAATTTGTCCGTTCGGCCCATCATCTCTGTCTGTGGCATGTATTTGTTGTACTTCGTGTCCCACAGACCAGTTCTCGACAACTGCCGTAGTGATCATGGGTTGGGGAAATTCAGGCGAGTTGTCATTTTTATCTGAAATAGTGATATTCACAAGTGTTTGCCCAACTACTGGCCCACCATTCACAATGACAGTGAGTTGATAAAAAGGAGTAACTTCACGATCAATTTCCTTAGCGGTCGTAATTTCCCCAGAAACTGAGTCAATTTGGAAGACATTATCTCTATCGCCTGACGAAATTGCATAGGAAAGAATCGAACTTTGATCTCCTGTGCTAGCACTCACTCTACCGACTGAGTGTCCTAAAGCAACATTTTCAAAAAACTCAAAAGTGTAACCAAGTTTGTCAAATTGTGGTGGATTGTCTAGTATATCAACCACTGTGATATGGACTGTTGCGTATGGAATGGCACTGCGACCACCGTCGTCTTGTGCATTTATAATCAGCTGATATGAATTCTTTTGTTCTCTGTCCAACGAAGTTGTTGCGATAATGACTCCACTGTTTCTATCAATACTAAAACGACCATCTGAATTTCCTTGTATAATGGTATACGCAACTCTACCATAGCTTCCAAAATCTAAATCTGTGGCACTCACTTGCCCATGTTTGACTGTTGTACCCGCTGGCTGGTTTTCATCAATTTCTCCATAGTAATTAACCGGGTAAAATATTGGGGAATTGTCATTTAAATCGCCAACTTTTAAGTTGACTTGCGTAGTGGAAGACCGCGGTAGCACACCTCCATCTGTCGCTATAACAGATAGGGTATACTCAGGTATGGTTTCCCGATCAAATGTAACCAGAGTCATGATTTTCCCTGTATTTTCAATAATGGTGAAGACTCCAGGATAATCCATTTCCACATGATCAGCCAAAGTGTATGACACTTCACCATTTACACCGGAATCCATGTCAGTTGCAGACACGATAACTACTTCCCTAGGTGGAGTGAAATTTTCCATTATTGTCACATTATAACTGGTAATGACGAAAGTCGGCGCATCGTCATTCTCATCTGCAATATTGATAATGATGTGAGTTTCTGCTAAATGTTGTGTAGCACCTTGATCTTGAGCTGTAATGTTCAATACAATTCTACTGGCAATTTCTCTGTCTAAGGCACTTTTTGTTGTAATAAGTCCAGTGTTTTCATCGATTTCAAACCAATCAAGATCATTTCCTTCTGTGATACGATAAAATATCTGCGCATTTAAATCTGCATCCTCATCGGTGGCTGTCAGACTCTCCACAAAACTCCCGCTAGGTAAATCTTCACTGAGCGTGACTTCATACTGTTCATACTCAAATTCGGGTGCGTGATCATTTGCATCCGTAACATAAATGATTAGATAGGCAAACGTATAACGAGGTGGACTACCAAAGTCTTTAACAAAAAATGTCAAATTATACTGTGAAATTCGCTCACGGTCTAAACTAGCTGCCACCTGAATTGCATACAAACTGGCTAACGGATAAATTCGAAAATGTTCTTGTTCATTTCCTCTTGTAATCTGGATACTCGTTTGCCCATTGAGACCCTCATCCTCATCTGTTACCGTGGCAATAGCAATAATTGTCCCAACTGCTGTTTCCTCTGCCACCTTGGCAACAGTCTCACTGCTTGGTATAAATCGAAATGTTATAACAGGAGAATGGTCATTTTCATCCAGCAATCTGACATGGACGTATGCCCTGCCATACTGGGTAGGATTACCCTTATCTTTCGCCTCCACTGTCACTGTGTAAATCTCATTTGATTCAAAATCAAGTTCTCTCAACGTCCTGATCTCGCCAGTTGAAGGATGAATAGTAAACAAGTCCTCTCTCTCATCTAGAAAGTAAATAATTTCAGCGTTTTCGCCAATGTCCCTATCAGTTGCGCGAACTGTGAGTACAAGCGTATCTGGTTCTATACTCTCGATCAAGCTAACTTCATACTCGCTCGGGTCGAAAACAGGCGGATTGTCATTTGCGTCGCGAATAGTTATATCCACTAAAAGAAATCCAAATCGTGGTGGAATACCTCCATCTTGCGCCGAAATGTTCAGTTGGTAAAAGTCCTGTGCTTCTCGGTCTAGTGTATGGGTTGTTACAACGTGCAGGAAAGCAGCAGCTCCGCTTGGATTTGTTGTCACAACCAGTCGAAATAACTCGTCGTCAGTATTCCCGCCGACAATAGCATAATTCTCTGTTATTCCGTACGAACCCGAGTCGAGATCTGTCGCAGTGTCTAGAATAACAGACGTACCTGTCCTCGCACTTTCAGAGAAGGAGACATAGATGCGAGATTCTGGAAAATTAGGCGAGTTATCGTTGATATCGTCAACGGTAATCCGTACCTCGATTGGGTAAGTTGGCTCGCTAGAGAATACAACGTACGAGAGTAAATCGCTACTCAAAGATTCTCGGTCAATTGTTGCTTTTGTCCGTATTTCCCCGCTGATACTGTCTATACTAAAATACTCAGACTCTTCGCTAAATCTGTACGTAAATCCAGGACGAGTTGAGATGGCACCTACAAAGGATCCCGGTGGCTGGCCTTCGTCAATGTTGAAATTAGCTCGCTCCACTGCACGATTCAGTGGGTCGTCCTCGGCTGTCGACAATGCAGAAAGTCGGAGCAGAAACGCCACGAATACAAGCTGCAATAGCCTCGATGGTACCATTTTGTGACCTTACACTGCCACGCTCAATTACAGTCGGTGATCAGCCACTGTGTTTTTTCAAAATATCCCGGTAAACAGTAGTGTAAAGTTGGAGGCGATATTCACGGGCAACCATGTTGGTTCGTTTACAAAGTGACAACACTGATGTCGTTACCATCGATCGACCGGTTCAAAGTCCACAATCGCATATCTAGATCTCCACGAATATCTCCGGTACGTTGCTCGATATGTTCATGAGTCGGTTTACCTCAGTTCCATATGAGTTCCTAGTGTAAAATAAGCAGACGGAAAGTAAAATTAGAACCCTACACCAGCGTGCTCACTACCTGAAAAATAACCAACATTTTTTTACCCACAGTTTGTACAATAGCGAGTAATCAGTAGTTCATTAATGGGCGTGGCCTTATGACGTCAGTCACCCTATAGTCCAATCAATGACACGTTTACGTTATGTCCCGTCAATCATTCGGCTACCTGTATATCGCACATACAACACCGTTTTACTCTTTGGGTTTGCATTGGAACAAATACAATGAACGCGATTTTCCTACGGATACTCTTTCTTCTTTTGTTCACTTTTAAATTAAAATAATGCTTTAGACAATGTGTGATCATTATAAAACTTTACGCTGTCAACTCGCGAACTGTGGAACGCGACTCTATGTGTTAGTAAGTGTGTTCCGTTTTGATGGCAGAAAAGAAGTTAGCGTCTTTCTCGACCACTGTTTTCTACAATGTGTCCACTATTGTTAAAATAGTTGTATAGCATTTGCCGAACTGTGTATCCGTGTTTATTTTGTGATTTTTCAAGTTTGTTCTGACTGAATTGTCGCAAAGGAAACAGCAACCGCGACAGCACCCGCATCAAAAGAAAACAGACAATGAACTCTGGAAAAATAAATACAATATGAAGAAAAAAGGCATGACTGTTTGTTGTAATGGGTGTGGGAGCTATCCATTATCTCACTTCCACGATATTAAGGGGGCCACCAGAATAGCCGAAAACATTAAAATTTAGGAGCGTGAATGTCAAATTTCGCCCTGAATAGCGAAAAAAATCGCTCTGATCTCATTAAACTTGATTTTCCGTGCGTCAAAATAATTTTGGTTTTATCATGGGTTTATAGTTCCATGGTTTTATATAGCGGAACTTGCGACCGACGCGTTCTGTATAAGCATGGAACTAGGTTTATAGTTCCATGGTATAAGTACGTGACTTTCCGCTTATTATTCGCATTCGTTAATCGTAACATTATCCGCAGACTTGTCTATAGTCTATAGTTGATCATGTGTGATTTGCACAGCACCAGCTCCTGTAGGTTTCTCCCACTCCCAGATGCTGGAATGTCCATTTCTATTGTTTCTGTACTGGGTAGGTTATAGTTTGTTTACCAGGATGTCTTACTGCTGCATATTATCCCCGCCTTGGGAGAGACGACTGTCGCATATGAACACACCGGATGACCGTAGGCTGCAGTGATTACATTTCACGACCCACATGTGCTATTAACAGTTTGAACAATATAGTCATTTTCTGATTTCATTATCTTTGTAGTTTTTTTTTAATAATACAATAATTAAATTTTATTCACAGTTCAGGGTGGTCACATTTCCGTATAAATGCATGGTCTACGACCTTTTTTTTTGTGTGTGTGTGTGTGTTTTAATTTTGTTTTTCGTTTTTTTAAGCAAGCAAGTAAAAAAATAGTCAAAATAAATACTACTAGATTCGGTGTCTATTCATTCGGTAGTTTGGTTGTTCTTTAAGAAGATTTACAACAGACTGCGAATGGACTCGGCTCCGAACATTATCGAGATATCGATCCGCTGGTACTATTTATGGTGACAACCATGTAGTTTGTCAGCGGTCCTGGCGCCACCACGGAACGCCGATAACACTACATTACCAAAGTTTTAATGTATTGGCATAATAAACTTCGTTCGTATTTTTTAAAATTTACGAATGCAAATGTTGTTTATGTGTCATATATTCGTGCACACCTTTTCTTCTAAAAAGTTCAAACATAACAGCGTACATTTTATTAAATGTCATTTTGTTGTGTTCGTTATACGCATGTGTGTCGTGCAACGTCGTTTAGTGACTGTTGAAAACGGGCATGTTTTATTTTTGTTAAATCAACGTTTGGTAACTAAATAGTTTGTCAATACCTGTGTGTGGAGTCATTTCAGATACACTTACACAAACCACCATCAGTCATTCCTAGGTCATCGAAATCCCGATGGGAACCAATATACAATATTCGGCCCGTATCGCATACTCGTCTTACCCTGTGGTATTGTTCTGCCTTTCTGGCAATCAATACGCGCAGTTTGAACTCAGAAACCCGAGATTATATCGGTGGAATTTGTTTACCCAACGCTTTGACAACCCTGGTGTTGTTTGCTATGCGTGCGACGCGATCGTGATTACACTTGTGGCGTGGATTGTATATAGCCCGCCCTCTTGAGGTCAGATCACCAAATTGATAACGGGGAACGTTTTTAGTGCATCGCGGCAAGTGATTTTTCGATTTAAATTTTGGGAGGAATGCATTAGACATTTTACTCTCTTTGAACAGCTGCATTTGCTAATATTTCAGTTACTTTACAATCAAAGCCGAATCAAATTTGCACATGTTATCTTAAGCTTGTTTTTGTTATGTCAATCACGTTGTCTTAACGATAAGCCGTAATGTTGATTTTAAGCCAGGATTAAAATAGCTGTCAATTTTGTCAAAGATGTATAGACACACACGATTGATATCACCCTGAACTGTACACTTACATACCATTTTTATTTTCACTCATTTAGGGCAGAGGCGTTCGTGGATATGTAGAGCAAAATGCGCCCTTTTTACACGGTTTTATATTCTCCATTAACAATTGAAATAATCTGTCTGTCAAAACAAAGAACACATTTACGTCTTAACTTATTTCTACCTGTTACGTAACTATTACGTTACGTGAATTTTAGACGATGCAGTTAATCGGTCCGTGGTATGGAGATCAAATTTGTTTTGTGTCTTTTTTTTCTCAGTGGAAGGGCCTGTCTCTTCTTGACACGTCTGGTTTGCACATTACAGCATCCGCATCAAAACGCACGACGTATATATACTAACATCGTTTTTTCCGAAACACATTTAACACCATATCTCAACAATCTGATTGAAATATACATCACTTCACTGTACGATTGTTTTCAGAATGTAGTTTCGTGTCTCGTCTCGTAGTAGAAATACACAGTAGTAGCTTCACCGATCGAGCATATGAGAAACGTACCGGGAAATACCATTGCATCTATGGGAGTGTCTCATGGTAGTATAAGTTTATCAATTGAACTTGATCTGATTAATGTTATTCCCATAATGTAGACTAAAATAATGGTGCCATAATGAATGAGTATGTTATTATAATGTATCTATGGGAGACACCGACACATATAAATGGGAATTATCACTTTGAGTGCTTAGTATAATTTTATC